TAAAACAAATCTGCATAAAATTGGTTAAATTTTTATTGTATATCTTTAAAGACCAATAAAATTGCAAGCCCTCTAATATATTTGTTACAAGAAAATTGTAAACTTACAAAGGTGTACAATAGTATTTACTTAAATCATAAATAACATATACTATAGAAAGTATAGATAGAGTTTAATAAAAAATTAAATTGTTTTATTTATTTTTGACTACTTTAATTAGCAAATAGTTTACTAATTTTTATTTGAAACTGCGATGTTAACACTATTTTCAAATGCTCGTATATGATTTAATATATGTTTATAATATTATGTTTTAGAGTTTTTATTGTTGTTATTTGTTTAGCATTTATTTTACTCTACTTTCAAAATACTTTAAATCAAAGTAAAATTTTAAAATTAGGTTTTTTAATTTAGGCATATAGGTATTTTTCAATCTGTATTGTGTTTTCTTATTTTAAAAAATTATTCTGTTATTTTAGAATACAGTAGAAATAAAATTAGAAAAAAATAAAAACTAGAAGACATTGTTCACTAGGCTGTGTCTAAAGTTACTAAAAGTTGCAGAATTTGATGGAGAATCCAAATATGGTTTTAAAAATTGAATTAAATTTTTTTTTGCTTAGGTGATTTAACTTTTTATATTTCAATAAAATTTTGACCTGGTTTCTCAAAAAAACATGGTTTTTACTTAGACATTAATAAGCTTTTTTTCTACTTTGGTTGATAAATATCATTTGGAATATAAATGTTGATTAAAACTAATTTTAGATATTATAGTATATTCTATAGGAATTTGTATAAAATATAAAAAAAACATTTCTTATTTTAAAATTAGACTTTGAATTTAATTTTTAATATGCATATTAAATTAAAACTGAAATTAGGTTGAGATTAATTTATAAATATTAAAATCTTTTTCAATGTAATTTAAATGCAGTTTGACTTAACATCGCGTAATAATTTTATTGGTATTGATGCTAGAAATACAGAAAGATATTAAAAAAGAAACCAAACTATTTCAACAAATATTATAAATTTAATACAAAAACATTTGTGTCAAACTTTCAAGGTCTTGTTTACTATTGTTTTAGGCATTAACTTTTTACTTGCCTCTTGAGTTCGGACAAATCCTTCTCTCTTTTCATTAGTGTACGCTCTACTTGAAGCTTCAGTAAACTCGCTTTACACAACGCTCACCAGATTGTCCATGACATGGCCGAATCGGCACCTGCATAGGATTTGATAAAAACACATTAATTTCAGAAGTTGTTAAAGAAGTAGTTAATACTAGTTCATAAACCAGTGACTCCCATGATATTACGTCTACCAATTTTTCAGCATTAAAGTTCAGAACAGGAGTTTTTCTTGTTCTAGGAGAGGCATCACCTTTTTGTAGATCTTCATTTCCAGTGCCTCTAATATCTTTTATCTTATTAATAGCTTTTCTATCCTCTTCAGTATTAGAACACAACAATGTTTGTAGTATACACTCACTGAAACAAAACCAAGTTGATCTTTGAATAGAGGGTGATACTACTTTAATGACATCTTCATTTTGAAATTTGAGTTGCTATTGTTGGTAAAGTACATGTCTTCAATCCAAGAATGTTCAACTTTAATCTTAAACCATCAAGGAAAACAAACACCTACAATGTACTCAGTGATGGATCTTAAATTTTCTATATCTTCACCTTGAATTCCATGTTCTACATATTCTGTTAGCAGTAGTTAACCATCTTGAACGTGAAACAGGCTCAATGTTTAATAATTGAAATTTTGGTGGTAAAATACAACTTTTAATGGCACAAACAACTTTATAAACATAAAATTGATCTGCAGACAGGTCATTTATTATTTTATCATCGAGAGAAATAAGTGGATTGGTAACTTTCATAGTTTTGATTTGATTTATATCTAGATCTGTAGCATGATCAAACATTAAACCAATAACAACAGACCATTTATTGTTCGATTTCGTTTGACCATCTAAATTGTTTATTAGATGCCTCAGTGGCAACTCTGTTGTATGGAGTTGACATATAAGCCAAACTTGTTTTTTTCCTAATTTTAATTGTATATGTTTGATGACTCCACCCTCCCACCGGTGTTTACATTTGTAGAGTCTCTACCAATAGCCTGTAAAGACTTGTACCAATAGCCTGTAAAGACCCAAAACACAAATTTAAAAACAATTACTGAATAAATATAGTTTTCAGAAATCTAAAATTAATTCAAGTTTTTAGAGCAGTTTTGAAGATTAAAAATCTACAATTTTTTAAGCATAAATTAATACATTTTAAAACTTTACAATGGCTAGATTTATTTAAAAAAAGTCTTTGCGGTTTCATCCAGAGCAAAAATAGGAATTTTAACCAAACCAGTTGATGAAAATGCCACAAAACAATTTTTTTTATTGTATCTCTATATACTTATGTATCTGATTATCTTATTTCTCTAGGAAGTCTTTTTAAATTTTGAATATTATTATTAGCTTTAATTCTGGTAACTTTCAGGGTTTTTTTAGTTAGCAACTAATTTAAAATAAGCTGTAGGTATATTCAGTGACAGATCCAGGATTTTTTGGTGATTGAGATAACTAACTTTCAGACTTGGAGCAAACTCTAAACGTAAGTATGTTTATACTTATGTCTAATAATTTAGCTGTGCAAAAAATTACAATGTTTGGAGGCAGGCAACAAAAAAGCCATTTGACTTCTTTGCCCCGCCCCTCCCTCTTAACCCAAATGTGAGGGCAACAATTTGATAAAAAAATTTTGTACTTTTATCAATTAGATTTGTATTCATCGATAAATTTCAAGTTTCATAATATTATTTCTTAACGTTCAAAAATTATGACCATATATAATTGTAATCCACTCATATTGTTTAAACTTTATATGGTCATAATTTTTGAACGCTAACTGATAATACTCTGAAACTTGAAGTTTATCAATGAATATAAATCTAATTGAAAAAAGTACAAATTTTTTTTTTATCAAATTGTTGCCTCTCGCGTTTGTTTAATAAAGTCAAAGGGCTTTTTCGTTCCCTGCCTCCAATTGTCGCAGTTTTTTGCACAGCCTCATTATTTGACATAAGTATAAACACACTACTGTTTAGAGTTTGCTCCATGTCTGGAAGGTAGCTATCTCAATCACTAAAAAATCCTGGATCTGCCACTGGGTATATTGCAATAACTATATCTGAACCAAGATTCTAAGAATTTCTTCCAGATTTTTTAATTCTTTTTACATTTTAAATTTGTTTTAATACTAAAGATTTTGCCTTTATTTTTATTTTACTATTATTTATCATTTTTGTACCAAAAAAAATGTATTTTTAATTTTAAAATGGTTTAAAAAGTTTAATTTAATTAAAAAAACTTTTTTTTTTTTTAAGCAAATGATGAACTTTTTTTTCTATGTGGGAAGGGAAGAGAAGAAGTTTATAGCTTTCTTTAATTACACTAAAGTATAAAAATCCTCAAACAAATTCACTGAATTTAATTAGTTTTGTGTTAACTAGTTTTTAGTAAAAAAAGAGCTTATTTGATTTTAAAAAATTTATAAATGGTCTTATTTTTAAGCCTTGCTAATTCATAGAGCATAGTTAATCTTTTTGTTTGTAAAAAATTTAACTCTTTTATGAATCAACGCAAAATATGCTAAATTTTTTCACTATATTTTTTAAGTTTGTCCCTGAGAATGAACCTTTTTTTTACTTGTTACCAATAATACACAATTTCGTGCATGTCTTTATAAATGCAGTTAAAGTGTAAATTTACAGTATTTGCAAAAATAGGGATTGCATTTTACGTCTTGTAGTATCTCAGTTTAAAGTTTATCTTTTGGTTTGCAAAGTTTGAAGTCATTTTTAAATCAGCGGAAGGTAAACAAAAAAAATTAATTTTTATTATTGTTTTTTTTTTATTTTCTCCCCAAATAAGCACTTTTTTTTGCATGTCCCCGAAAATAGGGTAGATTAGGGTAATATGAGCACCTTGGTAATATCAGCATACTTAAAGATTTCTTAGATGTAAGCAGTAAAGTTAAAGTTGCTTTGTATTTTTTGAATGAACTTTATGTGGTGATAACAGGAATCAGTACAATTAGCGTAAATTTATATGCAGTAATTAGCATCTAATTAAAACACTCTTTATTTTTTGCGTTGTTAAAATATAATCATCACGCATGAATAAATCTGTAGCGCGATATTATGGTGCTAAAATAGTGAAATTTATTTTTTCATAAAGAAAAACATGTTAGCTGAAACTCCAATCCATTCTTGTTTGAAAAACAATAGACGATATTTGATAACTTTTTTCAAAAATTTTCGCTATGGATTTTGGGTAACCCAGGGTGATAACAAAACGCATAAAATATTTCGTTTTACGACTGTTATGAAATGATATACACGTTATGATATGATACACAAGACTTTGATATAATATGATATGAATTCAGAGTTTGTTGAAAACGACTGCGGAGATTTAGTTAAGATTTTAATGAATGAGTTTTCTACAAATGGTTTGAAACTCGATAAAAATGTAAACTTCCCTAAATGGAAGCTTATGAACAATGCACTTAGTGTATTTAATATGAATCTTCCTGTCACCTTCACCAATTCTAAAGAAGAAGTTGATGAAATACAACAAGACGTTTTAAAAAAACTCTTTCTTGAAAAATAATCTACCTAATCCTTTAAATTATTATTATTTTTTTTAAATCCTTTAAATTATTTATTTCTTGTGTTAATAATTTATTTTTTTGGTATTTAATTGTTTTATCTAAAAATCATGAGATTATTTTCAACAAAGTTTGCAACTTATTATAATAGTTTGAATAGTTGTCAAATGGGATAGGGGGCTCTTTAAGTATTTTATAAAAAAAAAATTTTGACTAAAAAAGAAAGTTTATCAGTTTTCGGTTTAAATTACTATAAACAAATAGTTTATACAGATACCAATGGAGGAGCTAAATTCGTTAAAGCTGCACAAATTGTCAAAATAATGTCCAGCTGGTTTTTCTTTTCAAAGGAAAAACATTTTGCAATATATGATATTTTTTTATTCTAGAAATTGCTCTTTCCACGTGAATGCGAGCTTTTGCAACATTAGAGGTTTTTGTGTTATTTCTTTTTGAGGATTTTCCTTTATCTTTTAAAAAAGGAGGAATAACAAGCTGAGAACCTTTTCCAACAAGTAAATCGCTAATATTAAATCCTTTATCTGCCATTAAAGAATCTCCGGATACAATTTTATCTAAAATGCCACATCTCTCTGTAATAAATCGGTTTGATGCATTACCTCCATATGCTTTCGAAATAAAAGATACATTACCAATAGGAGTTATACAAAGTAAAACTTTCCAGGTGTTCTTAGATTTGTACGTTGAATAGGTTTGGGCTTGAGCTTTGGCTAAACTAGGAATCTCTATTGCTCCTTCAGTACAATCGATTATACCAATCACATTAGGAAATTTCTCAAAGCATTTTGGATAGGCATTTTTTGTTTCTTTTCTAGTCGGCCAATATATAAATTTTTGAAGCACTGAAGACATAAAAGGGATCCAAGTATTTAAAATGTTTGACACTAGAAATTGTTATATTTTAAATCTAAATGCCAAGTCATTATCTGTAAGTGCCAGTCTTAACTTGACAAGCACTAAAAACAAAGCATTTTTGGTGTTTACTTTGCGATTGATTCTGTGTTTTTGATTAGTTGTTTCTAAATAATAATGCAATTTTTTAGCTTTTCTAATAATGTGTTTATGAAGCCATTCAAATAATTTTGCATTTTGTAATCCAGTATAGATACTAACATATTAATAACTATAACTAATATCATCAAAGTTAAAAGATTTTTTTTTTCTGCTTCGGAAACAGAAAGCTTTAGTTCTGATATTTGCTTTTTCTGTGCAATTATAACTATTTTAAGATCTTATATTTTTTTTCCAAAGAAATACATCGATTGCACTTTTGGAAAGGTACAATCCTAGCACTATTATTGGTAGGTATTATATTATCATAACTGTGGTCACCTATGAAAGGAGTGGAGATGGTATTTGAGTTTTCTTGAAGTATCTCGAAGCCATCACGAATAATATTTTTGTTCTTTTTTTTTCGGACAATCTCAAAATAATTATTTTTACTGTGTGGATCTTTCCGTTTTAAATTATCTTTAACATCATACCCTTTAAGAAATAGTGTTGGAATAGAACAAACATCTGAACAATATCCAGCAGCAAAATGGTTTGAGCAAACCTTTCTACTCATGGTCATCTTAAAACCACCTTGCCTATTTAACATTTTCTCCCATAAATTCATGTCTTGCAATGTTCGAGCAGTATACCATCGAAGAATCCCAACGTGGTCTTTTTTTAATACCCTAAATGAACAAATAAAACAACAAATATTTAAATAAAAAAAGTTACAGCATGTAGTAAGCATCACAAAAAAATAAAAAATCATACATAATTATGTATATATATATATACATAATACAA